CGAAGGTGGTGATCGATTCCTCGGGCGAAGGAACCACCACATGCTTATCGACCCAGTTGCATTCTTGTTTAACCCTAGGGAGGAGTTTTTCGGTGATAGTAGATATATACCTCGAGATCGGTTCACATCGGCCCACTACCAAAGAAGCCTTTTCGACCCTAAAATCAGTAACAGTCGGGCACCCTGCCGGAACGAATTTCTCAGGGTGAGGTTCCGCCGCAGCCTCACCGCCGGCGGGCCGTGATGAAGAAGCAGCTTCCTTTTGCGGTACGGTTTTTGGATGTTTTCGCCATTTATGATCAAAGGAAAAGAGAATTAGGATGATATGCGTTTTGATTAGAGTTCTAGCAATTTTGGTACAAGAATTGTGGAGCAAAGAGATTTTTTCTGAAGAAGAAGCAAGAGTAGAAAGAGCTTTTGAGTGTGAAAGTTTGAATACTTATAGCTTGGTGATGACGGTTCAGAACTGGTAGTGGCCGACCAACGACTGACAGGCATTTAATGCCTTGGTAACTGGATCGACGGGACGTTTTGTCACATACGTCACAATCGGGCTCGTCGCTAACGTCATTATCCATCCAGTCAGAGTTCGGAAATTCATATCGTTTCTCGCCATCTTCTTTCCGAGAAATAAGGGGACTATCTATATACGGTAAAAGCCGAGTTTGCCCTTCGTATGACTAATCGAGATTGGAACATGATAGACCAAGGTTCAACTTCGTGTAATATCGAGCCATGATGCGAAGTTAGGTTGCCAAGCTCGTGACCCAGAGACCGATCAAGATCGAGATCAGCCAAGATCGAGGTCGAGCAAAATAGAGACCGATCAAGATCGAGATCGGCCAAGATCGAGATCGAGCAAAATAGAGACCGATCGAGGTCGAGTTCGGCCAAGATCGAGGAAAGCTTACCGAGCCAAAAAAACAAAAAGCTGGAATATCCGCAATTGAGCGAGAATCTCGGCGAAAATCACGGCGCATATCAAGGAGAGACCAATTAATTAATCTATCATGGGATTCTTTGCTGTATTTAGAAATTATATTAAGAATAGGACTTCCCTATTATATAAAGGGGGTCTGATCATTTGTAGAATGGATTCATGGAAAGAAAAAAGAAGAAGCAATATACTGCCTTTCTTCTGGTTTTCAATATTCAGTCATTCTGTTCTTGTATTAGTTTACCCTCTATTTAGTTGGAGGGTGATCAAACTTGAGGGACTAGGCTAATTGATTCATTTGGTTTGCATTCATTTCGTTTGTAGCCAATTTCGATACAAATATTTATATTTTCTCTATTTGTACCAAGCTATATATCACGTATCCTTAAAACCACGTACAAATTCAATTGTTATACATTTTCCGGGTAAACAAAGAAATTTCTTATAAACACCAAAATCAAGAATGCGAACATTAGTAGAAATATATGGGAAATAACAATATATCATCTTCCTATACCTTAGTGGCAAAACATTTTTTTTTGGGTGAAGAAAAAATGTATTATTAATCTCCACAAACAAGTACAATTTAGCCTCCTGTCTATCTCTACTGCTATATATATATTATCTATACAAATCCAAATGAAAACTAACAGCATCAAAGAAGACTAACTAATTATCCTATCTATCCAGTTCTTGACTTATACCAAGTCTGTATAATCTGTCTTTGGTCATAAATTTTTTGTGCAATGTCAACCAACATATAAAGCTGTGTTTGGACATATTCCCTCTACTCTATTCCATACCCATCTCCCCCAGGGCTATAGCTCCTTATCCCCCATTCTCCACTTATAACCATTACTCACATAGTACTTCCCAGTGGCAGTCAGCCACCCATTCTGGACAAAACCAGGTGCAAACAAGCCTCTAAAGGCTAGTTTGGTACGAGGGATAAGAGATAATTAATCCCACGATAAAATTTTAGATGAGTTTATCCCACGTTTAGTTGGGATTGTAGTGTTTTTATATTCCCATGGGAGGGATGACTGACCTTAGTGGCAAAGTTAGTTACTACATGTGTTGATTAGAGGTAACACGCACTCGATTGAATAGTTGATGTGTGCGCAAGTTGGTACGAACACCACCAATATAAAAAATAGTGTCATTTCACATCGCATTCGGTATAAAACAACACGGAGATACGGTATAATTATTCCAGGGATTGCTTATTCAAAACAAAAAGATAATAATCATGCCCAACTACTAATGAAAAACAAATTGAGCAGTAAATCCTCTTCCCCACTTTAACGGATGGAATTGCGAAAGCGTGGAAGAAACTGGGGAACTGACATAAGAACTGTGTTTGAAGTGATACATAGCTGCAAACTTGTAGCAACAGAAAGTCATAGCTAACTTTTGAAACGATTTCAATTAGTAAGCTCTAATTTATGAGAACTTAACTATACTTGGATTCCATCTATACAATTCCTGTTTTTGTTGTTTTCACTGCCTTAGGTGCATAAACTGATACATAGCAAAATGTTGTTGCATGTCTTAACTGTAGCTCCTCAAAGTAAATGTTTAAAGAGTCTACTTTTTACCACAAATCTAATAGAACGAAATGTCTATGCAAAGTCTAGTGAATCAAAAAGATGATAAAGAAATATATGATAGCAATAACTACAAAACAGTAGAAGGTCCGTGTGGAAGCAGAATTACAACGACACCAGTGATGATAAACTCGTCTTCCGCAGTTGTAGCAGAAACCAGCACCACACCTACATTCAGATGAAAATAGAATAAGATTAAAGTAAAACACTTGAAAGTTGAATTACAAAACGAGTACAATTCTTAACAGAACACAGGTGTGACAATATCAATCAAATTCATATAACATTACATCTTACTCAAGGCCGCCGTGCCTTTATAAGACTTTAGAACTGAACAAAACCAGAGGAATGGAAGAAATGCATAAGAGAGTACAATAAATTATGATAAGATACACAAATAACACAATCATGAGAACTGTTGTCAGGAATTAGGAAACGAACAAATTAAGCACCTAATAACTCAGGTATGTTGAGTCTTTAGCCGAGGGTCTATTGGAAACAACCTCTCTGCCCACAGGGTAGGGGTAAGGTCTGCGTACACACTAACTTTCCTATACCCCACTTGTAGGAACTCAGTGGGTTTGTGTGGTTGTTGTTTAACTCAGGTATGTTGAAATCGTTTATCTAATGAGCAACTTCTTTTCCTCCCATATCATATATTTTGGCTTAATAGTTTCTTTTTCTCTTCTCTTCTTTTTAGAAATAATTTTTACTGGAAGATGAAATCGGAACTCGAATATTCATAGACGCTACTTTCTCCCACGTTTCTTTCCCGACGAAAAGTAAACACAAACAAATAAAAGGATACATGCTTTAGTTTAGGGGATTCAAAATTTATGCGACCACCTATAACGTTCAATGGTCAGAAACACCCATTAACGTGAACAGAGCAAAATGTAGCAATTGAAATCTCAGATAAGTAGAAACTGAGAATGCTCAGGCATCTTAATCTCAATTATGTGGCATTAGAGATAAATTACATAATTTTCTGCTCATATTACTTTCTTAACATGAATAAGATAATTCTTCTGCTCATATTCGAGGTATATAAGTCCGTTTCAAAAAACTACAGAATGCTTCCACAAACAACTCCTTGTACCCTTCATACATGTAGCCTTGTCGAATATTTATAATTGCTCGATTGATAGGCCTAAGTCATCAAAATCCTGCCTTTTCTGTCCGCATTACTTCCCCTGGAGTTGAGACCTTATCAATAAATCACTCGTGCCTCAATCCAAAATATCAGCTCTATTCGGACCCTTAACCATTCTATATACTAAATATTTCCATGATGTTTCACTCTGATTCTTCTCAACCAAAAACAAATTTTTACTGAGTAATCCTTAATACTAATATCACATCAAGGCTTACAGTCTAGTGGAGTCTCACACAAATATGTGTGCGTTCAATTTTCACACTTCCTTCTTTCCTCTTCCCCTTCTCTGATCCTGACTGCCCGGTCTAACAAAAAAGTTATTACTTATAAAAGAAGCACTACTATCAGGGTTTGCAAAATTTTGCCATTAAATACCAAAAAAATTTGCAAAAGATCCAGGCTCCCATATAATCCAAACGCCAGAAGTTATAATCCATCCCAATTACAGATTAGATTTTACTTAGTTTTCTACAAGATTAGATTTTGCATATACCTCTATAATACTAACATATAACCCTAAGTAAAGGATAAAGAAAATTCATGAAAAAAAGGGAACAGGAGCCGAAAACAGCAAATAATTTACCTGCATTTAACAATTTTGCAACCTTCAGTTTTTTCAACAAAGCGACGGCACTGAGGGCACCTTTTCCACTTCTTAAGTTCCGCAAGCACACCAAAAGCGACGTCGTTTCTATCCCTTAATTCCTGACTCTCTTCACACTGAAATCCAGCGTGCCATGGAAGCTTGCACTGAAAGCAAAAAAACCTTTTGCAATTTGGACACTGTGATCGCTTCGCATTCCCTCCACACTCATCCAAAATCAAAGCCGAACAATTTCGATTAGGACAGTAACTCTGAGCCAACCCTAAAACAGCGGACTCACACAATACATCGCACCATTTAACAAACAGCTGTGGACAGACGAGATTCCGACAAGAGATTGGGTCAAAAAAATGGTTACAATCCAGAGAAGGACACGGAATGTCCCCGACGTTGTCCTCAAGCTTGACGGAGATATATTTTACAATACAGTCGACACAGAATGGATGAATACAACTATTTTGGTTCTTGAATTTCTTGTTGGGTAACAACATAGGCTCGACACAAATTTCGCAGGTGAATGATTGAGGTTCATCTGGTTCTTCTGTCACTGACAATTCGTGTTCTTGGTTTTTTTGTAGTGTATTTCCCATGATCAGTGTGTTAAAAGAGTGTTTGGATTTTGTTACACTTTGTAACTTGTGAGCAAAGGAAGTGATCAATTTCAGGCGTTTCGGGCTCTTCTTCTTAATATTCGTCCCCCAATTTTCCACTTTTGCAGTTAAGTCCTCTATTTTGTGGAAAAAAAATTATATTTTCCTTCCTTATACGGGAGTTTGATATTTATATGAAACAATTACCGTATCAAACCTAAAGATAGCGACTTGTTTGGTAAGCGTGTGGGGATAGTTTATTTCAGCGGAATTATAACCAATGGTCCAGCAAAATAGAAATTTTAATAGTCCGAAACATATTGCAGTTTCAAATCATTCTATATTAGTTTTGTTGGAGATAAATATAAATTGAGTTGATAATATATACACTTTTTGTTAATTAGTAACTCTTACTATTAGTTGTAAAATTGCTTATGAAGATACATGTCATGTGTTTATTAGTTTGATATAAACCCTTAATGTGAGAGGAAGTTTTTTCTTCTCTTCTTTATCTTCTTTATTTAGCTCTTTACTTAGCTCTTTATTAGTTTGATAAAAATAGGAATTTTAATAGTCCGAAACATATTGCAGTTTCAAGTCATTTTACATTAGTTTTATTGGAGATAAATATAAATTGAGTTGATAATATATACACTTTTTACTAATTAGTAACTATTACTATTAGTTGTAAAATTGCATATGAAGACGCATGTTTTTTGTTTATTAATTTGATATAAACACTCAATGTGAGAGGAAGTTTTTTCTTCTCTTCTATATCTTCTTTATTTAGCTCTTTACTTAGAAAGTATAGGTACCAAAAAAAGGAAACAAATAAAAAGAGGAATCATCGCAGAAGTTTCCTACACTCATTAACTATTATTCTATGTGTTCTCATAATTCAATTAAAGCAGAAAGCTTTTGAACGTTACGAAAATCTTTTCTCTCGGATGAGTACCTGAGAAGCTAAACGAAATTCTCAGGAAAATGCAAAAATCGCTCGAATTCCCCTGTACCAACTGACCTCTTTATTTTGCTCTTTCCCCCAAAAATAAAAATGATAAGTTTCGAGTACATACGAGGGTGAAAACATTCAACCCTTTTCCTATAAATTAAGACATTAATTCCACATTATAACTATACAAGTTTTAAAAATATTTTATACATAAAAATATTTATTGCAATGTAATTTATGAATATTTCTTAAACTTTTTCTTAGTTCTCTCTTTTAACATATTATTTCAAGCTTGAACTTAGAATTTTTGAATGGTTCAATATGTTATATAGCCCATAAATGTTAGTAATTCAAATAAAAACATAAAGTAAAACCAAATCAATTTTAATGCTAACAAAAGCAATTCAATTCAATACTGGGAATAATAATGTATTGGATATCTATTGTTTTAGTTTTTCATTGGTTTAGACAGTAAAAATGCATAACTTATTTTTTTTAATTTAGTCATGTAACTAATACTTAGTACTTACTAGTCGTACTTATTTTAGCATGACTTAATACATTTAGGTTATGTTCATTTTCGTTATTAATTAGCTATATTTGTTTTACGCGAATTTTATTATCTTTATTGTTGAACATTTTAGTATAATGTCATGACTCATCTCACGTTATTGTGTTATTGTTTATGTAACACCTTAAATAGTTGTATCATACTAGGACTAAAGAAATATTTGGAGCACTAGTTATATATTTTATGCTATGAAGATTTTATCGAAAGAAAATCCGAAAAAATTGAGATTGAAAAACCTACTTTTGTTGGTTTGGTTTGATTTGATTTATAGATTTAAAAATGCAACACAATTGGTTTGGTTTAGTAATTAGAAAATCCGAACCAACCCAACCTATGTACACCCTTACATTTGATATAAAAATTCTTATGAAAAAAGAAAATAAAGCAAAAAAAAAAGAAGAAGAAGAAGAAGAAAAGAAGAAGAAGAAGAAGAAAAAAAGAGAACAACGTTGTAAATTAGTCATTGGTGGGAACATGTACATGCTGAATACACATAATGAATTACAGAAATAAAATATATTTAATTTAAAATCCTAAATAATATGAGTTCCTATCTAATTCAATTAAAAATAATTTAATGATCAAATTTTAGTTAATTTTAAAGTCCTAAATTTAAAAATTAGTTAAATATAATATTTTTAAAATAAAAGGAGGTAGTTAAATAAGAAGAAACCACACATGACATTCTGTAACATTAAAGCATATGGTCGACACCCGACAACAGGTCAAAAGGAAAAGAAAAAAAGAGGACATAATGAGTAACACTAATCACTATTCAGATTGTATTTAAGTGTTTGATTTATATTATTTTGCAACCTTTTTTTCTCGGAGATGTTATAATTTGAGAAGAGTAAACTTACTCAATAAACCGCGCGAGTGTGTTTGATGTGAAGGAAATTTTTTTCCAATTTTCTCGTGTTTTGTTGGTTTAATTATTTTAAAAAATATTTTTCTAATAAACCCATTTTCATTCAATTTAAGAAAAATTACTTACCTATCAAAAGTTAATAAAATATTTTTCAAAACACTCTTTCAACCCTCACCATCCCACCATCACCACCTAATCCACCTACTCGACACCCCGGTCCCAAACCCAACCCCTTGACCTATCACCCCATCCAGTGGCCCATCCAGCCCGATACCCACTTACCCCTATCCTTCGTCTCATCCCAGCCCACCCACCTACTCCTCCCCTTTCTAGTCTTAGTCCACTAACTCCCGCCACCCTTCCTTGTTCGTCCCAGGGACTCAAGCCCTCGGCCCCGACCCTCGATCCCGGCCTAGAACCCCACTACACCCCCTAAAACCCTCGACCCAAACTCGAGACTTGACCCCGACCCCTGACCTCGATCTGACATGACCCTCGCCCCCGACCTTGATTCCAACTCTAAACCCGAGTCCAACTAAGGTTATGGCCTTGACCCGAGATCTGACCCTTTGAACCCAACCCGACCCGACATGACTTGACTCGACGCGAGACTCGAACATATGTAATGAACTAACTAATTTCTAGCCCTTGATTTAAATCAAGGAGGCTTATTGTCCCATGACAAAAGACGAGGGAGTGGTTTTCCAAAACCCTAAAAGTTAAGGGGGTTTAGTGGAATTTACTAGAGAAAGTGTCATTTATAAAATGGGCTAAAATATAACACATATTATAAAAATATTATATTGTGGATGTCCATTTAATACTCCATTATAGATAATCTTCCTGGAGAAGATTATTCATTTATTACTCCATTGAAGTTTATCTACAAGCAGCTGATGCAGGCAGATTACATGCAACTCAATGAAATGGCTTGCAACAACATATTATTAAACAGGTAGGTTGCGAGCAACTCATGCAGATAACTTAGAAGCAGCTCAAGAAAAGCCTCACAGCTGCTTCCTAAAAAGCCTTACAGCTACTTGCTGAAAAGTCTCGCAACTGCTTTCTTTCTTCTATAAATAGAGGAGTTTTTAGTTCATTATGTACATCAGTTTGAAGTTGAATAATATATCAATCTCTCCCTATACTTGTCTTTGATCTATTTACTTTATAGTCTTCATTTTATAACACATTATCAGCACAAGACTCTGCCATCTCGAGCAAATTCTTTGAAAGTATCAGAGGTACGAACTTTTTATTTATTTATTAAGAGAGAGGAGTTTTCAGTTCATTATGTATATCAGTTTGAAGTTGAATAATATATCAATCTCTCTCTATACTTTTCTTTGGTTTATTTACTTTATAATCTTTATTTTATAACACGTTATCAGCACGAGACTCTGCCATCTCGAGCAAAATACTCTGAAAGTATCAGTGGTATGAACTTTCTTTTTTTAAATAATGTCAAATCTTTCTAAACTTGAATTTGTAGCACTGGATATATCGGGCAAAAGCTATATGTCTTTAGTGCTTGATGCTGAAATTTATCTTGATGCGATGGGTATGACAAACACCATCAAGGATAAAAATCAAGCATCAAATCAAGACCGTTCCAAAGCAATGATATTCCTGCGCCATCACCTTGATGAAGGCTTGAAAATATAATATCTCACTGTTAAAGATCTAATTATTATGTGGAGTAATTTGAAAGATAGATATGACCACCTGAAGATGGTCGTGCTTCCACATGCGCGTTATGATTGGACTCATTTATGGCCACAAGATTTTAAATCTATCAGTGAGTATATTTCTGCTATGTTCAGAATTATTTCCTAATTGAAATTATGTGGTGATAATATTACTGATCATGATATGTTCGAGAAAACATTCACCATTTTTCATGCCTAAAATATGCTAATGCAGCAGCAATATCAAGAAATGGGATTCAAAAAATATTCTGAACTTATTTCACATATTCTTGTGGCTGAGCAACATAATGGGTTATTAATGAAAAATCATGAAAGTCGACCTACTGGTTCTTGTTCATTCCCTGAAGTGAATGAGACGAACTTCCACCAAGCTAAGCGTGGAAGAGGTTGTGGCCCCATTCATGGTCATGGCCGTGGTCGGGGAAGAAACTCTAATCATGATAATAATAATACACCAAAGAACCCTCCTCACCATCAGTTGTGGAAAAGAAAGGAACAAAAGCATGACGTGGCGCAAGCAACAAATGCAAAAAATACATGTTATAGATGTGGAGGAAAAAGACACTGGTCACGTACCTGTCGTACGCCAAAGCACCTGGTTGAGCTTTATCAAGCCTCCCTAAAGAAGACAGAGCAGAATACTGAAACAAAATTTATTTCTGAAGATAATTTAGACTTCATGCATTTGGATGTAGCTAATACTTTGCACTTTCAGAAGGATAAACAAGTCATGTAATCGGTGATAAATCTGTAGAACTTTAAATGTTTTAATTTTTGTTGTTTGTATTAGATAGCATGGTTATGTAATTGTTGTACATAAATAAAAGTTATGCTTTGATAATGATGTTTATAATATTTATTTTGTTTATGTCATTTTGAAGAATATGGATAATCCTTCAATTATGTTTGGATCAAAGACCAATTATGAAGATATTTGTGTAATTGATAGTGGAACAATTCATGTCATATTCAAAGATCAGAAATACTTTTTTTATTTGCATAAGAAAAAAGCAAATATTCCTATAAT